GAGCTGTGGTACGATTGCGCTCATCTGGCGCTTGTCTTCTGCCTTATGCGGTACATACATGCGGTCTGCTGGGCGAGTTTGGCCGTAAGGTGGTGTGTAGTGAGGAGGGTGGAGACGAGTGTGAAGGTGAACCAGGTGGTGAGGGGCATCGCCTGGAAGGCTAAGGTGTAAATATTGGGTGTTCGCAGTGTGATGAGAACTATCTGTTGGGTGATTGAGGCTGAGGTGGAACGGCAAAATGCTGGTTGTGCCGATGCTGTGACTGGTCATCACAATCATCTTCAGGTCATCTGGTGAGACTATCTCTGTGGTTGGGGGCAGCATGAACGAGGTACGTTGCTCTTAACCCTACCTACCCTCTTCATCACTTCTTACCGTGAGGTTGTCAATTCTGTCTTGAGAGTCCTCTCATCGTGAGGTGTCGTGTGCGCTCAACCTTGAGAGTCGTGATTGTTCACGTGGAGCATCTGGGGGAAGACGGGCGGAGCTTCTTGAAGGGCCCTGGACGAAGCACTGGGTCACGGTCACCATGCCAACCCACTGGGTGTAGTACACGCATGCTTCGCTGCAAGTCATTGGTTCTGCTGCTTGCGCATGATAGGGGTTAACTCGAGTATGGCAGCCTCTACAGACGCTTACCAGACCGTCTATAAACATTTCTGGCTGGGGAATCGGCTCTGCTCTGGCTGTGATCGTCGTCCTGCTGCGACGTAAAATAATTCCTGATGTCATGTGGGGGCGGACGTTAAATTACCTCTTGATCAGCCCAGATCATCCGAGTGGAAGGCTCGTCGACGTACGAGGGTAAATAAGAGTGTTGTGGCTGCCTTGCTCGACGATAACCCGGGGCACAGGGGTGGGACCGGATTGCACACCTTTGAGACACGCTTGGCTTCTGATGCGAAGAAACGTGACACCGTGACTTTGAGAAGAACAAAGGGAGGGGTAGGTTCCAGGTGATAAGTTCGGGTTTTAATTCCATGCTATGAACAGACCCAGTCAGTCAACATTATTTTTATTTTTGATTAGTTAGATGGACTGCCATGTGACATCTGACAGACAGCATTAGTTTAGAATATTGTTTACTCCTGATGCTTCCTCTGTTTGAGAACTAATCTTACTAAAAATAGTATTGACGGTAGGAATCTGACTTACCTGTTGACCCCAAACGAGATCTGTTCCAAAATAGCCACCATTAATTAGTTGGTCTGTGCACTACGCTGCGGTAGGCATCTTGAATGATCTAGTGTAGGCGGTGCACAGTGTTGTAGCCTATGAGCGACAGTGAGGACACTGGAGAGGACGACCGCAGGATCTTGTGATCAGCTAGAGGCCCGATAACTCACATGTCCCTAGGACCAGGGGGTGATAGGGAACTGTTCCGCCGGCAGCGGGAGAGGCAGCAGCAGAGGAGGGCTAGAGCAGCCGAGGCCAGCAGGGCATTAGCTAGCGAGGCCGGTGCTTCAGCAGCCATGGCTACCACAGCCATGAGCACGTCTGCACAGCAGACCTCCCCAGTCGGTAGTTCAGGTACCGCCGGGTCTACGGTCGCGCAGACCGTGAGTCAGTCCACTGGCTTAATGGCAAGCCAGCCCGCGGTGTTGACCCCAGAGGATGTCGCCATCCAACAGGCAGCCCTGCAAGAGGCACAGCTACAGCAGGCCTTAGGACAGATAAAAAGAGAGAAGGAAATGATGATTAGAAGAAAAAACAGGTTGCAACGAAGAGTGGCAGACATAGAGGAGTTAGAGACGATGAACCTGACGCATATGGATGATGATGTGAAGGTAGTTAGGAGGGCCCTGCTAGGCGTAATTGAGATGCAGGAGCATCCAACTACCATCCTTCAGGACATTCAACAAAGCCTAGCCGTGTTGGCAGGCCGTGCTCAGGCAGCACCATCACCAGCAGGGCCTGGTGCCTGGCCCATGCTATATCCTCCTTTTTCTGTCCCACCGGTGACAGGGTTATCCCCATATGTAGCCCCTTCAACGGTTGCAATAGTTTCCCTGGGCATGCCGCTATCAGGAGGGGTAACAGCAGGAAGTAGTTTACAGGTTCCTATACAGACAATGTTTACTCCAAGTCCGTCACAGGTTGCAGTCACCACGCAGCCTGCTGTCTCGCAGTCAGTGCAGCCTCAGGGCACACAGCCCCAGCAGCTAGCACA